TTGAGAGTTAATTCGGTACTTGGACTAATAGGAGCTCTGATGCATGAATTTATTTTATGAATCACTGTCCATTAGAGAATCAATGTTACTTAAGGATAAAGATGTAATTAGAGGGTTAACAGATTTCACCTAACTCCAATTATGAATTATTTATGAAGGATTGATATATATATATATATATAATGACTATATCAAATTGACACTTCGTCATTTAGAAGTAATTTATATCTATAATTATAAGAGTGCAATTTCAAGTTTATAGTAGAGTAACTATTAGAATTAATAAAATTAATTAATCAATTAAAGTGCTTTAATTAATTATTAATTTTATTGAAGTTAGGAATTATAGGTCCATGAGTCCCCGCGTCGTCCTTGTAATCCTACAAGACACTAAGGGCAAAATGAGAATTTTAGGATCTTGATGGGCTTGTATCAGCACGACACGTTAAAAAGTGGGTATGGCATGGCACGACACAATTATTAAATGAATCTAACCTATCCCGTTTCTTAAATGGTCGGGCTTGACGCAATTTTTAGGCACGAAACACGTTAATGGCACGACACGCTAGTCGTTAAGAGTCCGGCACGAGCACGTTAAAAGCACAATAAAGGCCCAACTAATGAATATGAAGTATAAAACTAATTTCATTATGTACTTCTTTATAGGACTTATAATTGCACTTTTTTTACCAATATTTTATCCTAGTGGGTTTTGCTTGATATAGTTTTTAAGGAGGCATTTTTTTTAATTAATCACGTGCTTTCCTTTGTTAAGTTTAATGTTCTCATTATGTTCAATGCTTATTTTCTTATATTTGTTATAAATTTACGTACGACAAGCACAAATCAAGAATATGATAAAAATGTGACAAACACATAGACACATGTATATAGGGCTGTACATGGGTTGGGTTTGTGCGGGGTAGGACTTTTTCTTGTCCCGCCCCAAAGGGTGCGGGTTGCACATATTTGGTTCCAATGATGTAAGAAAAATTTCACAACCCAATAATATTTAGGTTGGGGTGGGGCGGGGTGGGTTAGGTGGTCAGGCTCATCATTTAAAGAATCAAGTTCAATTCATAGGTGGAGAGAGTTGAGAAGAGAGGTGGAGAGAAGCCACCAGCGCTGGAGAGCTTAAAGAGCTAGGTCAACTGGTCGAGGAAGGACTGAAGGTAGTCTATGTCTGCGTGTGGAGAGGAGCGTTGCTAGACGAGAGAGAGTAGAGCCGAGGGTTAGAACTTAGAACTTAGAGGACAAGGCCGAGGCATGTTTGTGCGGGTTGAGTTGGGGTATGCAGGATATTATAGGCCCAACCCACAAACCGTCCCAAACACCTCGAGTCAGACATTTAGTGGGCCAAAAAATAAAAATTAATGGTAAAAGTTGTCTTTTCCGGGTTGGGTTGGGTTTGCGGGTTGTTTGGGTTTATGTACAGCCCTACGTGCATAGGTACAAGCTCGTTAAGGCACGGCCCGCAAATAAATAGACAGTGGGCCAGGCTTGATGCCATAAAAGTTAAATGGGCCAGGTGTTAGGAAATGTGTTCTAGAAGCATGAGATGTAATAGGATATTTATTATTTATTTAATAAAAGAGTTTATTCATTATTTTTTGTGCATATATTATTGAATATTTTATGAGTGTCACTGAAATTTTCATGATTATTTATGTGACCTTAAATATTGTATATAAGTGTTATATGCAAGAAGATAATAGTTAAAGAAAATAATCAAAACGATGCTCGTAATGAATTTAATTAAAACTTCAAAATCTTTAATTAAAACATTACTAATACATATCATTCCCATTTAAGATGGAATGGTGTTATCCGCACGGGATTCTGGGCTTTCTTCTGTAAATCCATCTACAGCCTTGATCCTTTTGTCTCTTGATTTTTCAACAAGGATCTAAGTTTTATTCTTATGAAGAGACTCCATCTCTTCTTTCATTGCTTTGAGCCATTGTTCCCTGTCTCTGCTGCCACCCTAAGTTGTTAGCATACTCCTATTTATGGATTTGTGTCTTTTGATTTACTCGGTATCAATTCCAAGATGTTGAATACGAGATGGAATATATTCCTTCTTGAGAAAGAAGTAGATAAACAATTCTCTTGAGAGTTAATTCGGTACTTGGACTAATAGGAGCTCTGATTCATGAATTTATTTTATGAATCACTGTCCATTAGAGAATCAATGTTACTTAAGGATAAAGATGTAATTAGAGGGTTAACATATTTCACCTAACTCCAATTATGAATTATTTATGAATGATTGATATATATATATATATATAATGACTATATCAAATTGACACTTCGTCATTTAGAAGTAATTTATATCTATAATTATAAGAGTGCAATTTCAAGTTTATAGTAGAGTAACTATTAGAATTAATAAAATTAATTAATCAATTAAAGTGCTTTAATTAATTATTAATTTTATTAAAGTTAGGAATTATAGGTCCATGAGTCCCTGCGTCGTCCTTGTAATCCTACAGGACACTAAGGGCAAAATGAGAATTTTAGAATTATGAAATTCTAAAATAAAAACACTCAAGAATAATTAATTGAGAATTAATTATAAATTAAATAATGTAATTATTTAAATTTGAATTTTAGAACACACATGTGGAGGTTTTCGTATGGTGTACACGCCTATGCAGTGTAAATCCCTCTCGGATTCCGTTGCTTGCTCTCTAAATTATCCAATTGACTTATTTGATAAGTTGTCCAATTGAAATTCAAATTAAATTAAGTTTGACTTAAATTGAAATTTAAATTTGAGTCAAAATTGGTCTGCAGAATGAAAACAGAATTTTTCCTTCTTCCTTACTTGTTATTTGCACCTACACAGGGAGGAATCTCCCTGTGGTGGCCAGCCATATGGGATAAGAGAGAGAGTGGATTTTGTTTCAAAATCAATTAAGAAGTGAGAGATAATTATCATGCTTTATATTAGAAATAAAGTTTAGACTTCTACTACTCTATAAATAGGAGATTGTAGAAAATTAGAGAACACAATTTTTACTCTCGCTAGCACAGGTGGCCGAACTTTATAGAGTGAGGAAAGGAAAGTTTTTCTCTAAAATTTCATGTCGTGCATGTGTTGGTGTTCGTAAAAAATTTGAGTGTTTTCTTGCTAATCCCGTTTTGTTTTAGATGTGCCCACACACACGTCTTCATAGATTGAAGAAATTGACGATGAAGATTCAGGTATTCTAAACAAACTTGGAGCGAGGATCGTTCGTGGTCAAAAAACTCAAGTTATCGACCTAATTGCTTGCTAGGTAAATAAATTAATTTGATTAATCTATTCATGTATAAATTAATGTAATCTATTGAGTATCTCAAAATTTTGTGAAAATTTTTATTATACAATATTCGTTAGATAAACGTTTCCGCATTGAAAATCGTTTTCAAAACCAACACTAAGCCCAACAAAACACAATAAATAAATAGATTGACCCAGACACAGTACGAGACACTTTAAAGGAACCGACACGATTAACATCTCTAAATATTTTATATATATATATATATATGTGTGTGTGGATCAGTCAATGTAATTTTTTCATATCATTGCTTTTGGAGAAATTATATTAACACCCCCCATTTTTATTAAGATGCCTCAAAAGAAATTTTTTCTTTTTTAAATTTAAAATCGTTTATAATTTATTGTAAAAGTCACTTAACATTCCTCAAATACCCTTACAAATACACCAATAATACTCCGTCTCGCCCTTCTGCAAACAAGGATAGAAATTCTAGCGAACAAATATATATCTCTTTGCCTACATATATACCATCTGCAATTGAAGAATCCAAGACATAAAATTTGATAATGATAAATGCTTTAAAGTGAGAAATTCTTATAAACCCAGGAAATGTAAATCAACAAGGAGATGAAAAAACCGCACTCTGATACGGATTTTTTGGTAGAAAAGAAACTACAAGAACACAATAAAAATAATTGAATAGGGTGTCTCAATAAAATTTTAGGGTGCAAATAAAATTTTCCTTGTTTTTGTCGCTTAGAATGCCAACTAATTTTCATCCTCCCTTTTTATGTGTCTACTCTACTGAGCATGCACATAATATTCCCGCATATGACCACAACAATGATAAGAATAATGGGAGATATCTTGAAGAAAAAATATAAATGCATGCATGAGATATATGAATTTGAATCTAATATTAATTATCTAATTTCCTAAAAACAATGAATAAATTATATTGAATATTTACATTCAAATACAAGCTATTTAAAATGTCCATTATCCTTATATCAGGCAAGAAATGCAGGCATTCCGCCTTTAATTTTCTCAATATTTATTGACTTCTAAAGCAGTATATTATGACTCTAATCGTAGTGTTCTTTTATTCAGGCATACATTTCGTACATGTATTTAACACCAAACAATTAGATGTTTTATACCATCTCTGTTCGTCATTAAAATCATATATGATATAACCTACAATATTATATGAAAGATTGAATGGGAAAATGATTCCGTTGTGGAAAGTCAGAATGACCAGCTCCATTTCGAACTTATAATTATAGCTGCTTTAAACAAGCATATTCTTCCCATCAAAGGCTAGCTGATCCCCAACCAATATTTCATGAGGTCAAATTTTAAAAGAAACGAGCTATTCATACGGCAAATTAATTAATATTAGTCTATACTAGTAACCAATTCTAAAAAAATAAAAATAAAAAAACCTTGCGGGAATCATTTACAGAAAATTTCAAATTTAATCATTATTTTTTTCAACTCTATTATTTATATCACCACACAAAATTTTTTAACCACTACAGAAAATAACATACAGATTGTGAAAAATAACCTCTACATTATGAAACAATAACTCACAATACATTAGTAATATAAGATAAATTTAATATCAGTGGCAGAATAAAACAATGTTGTTTTATTGATGGATAAACACTGTTTTAATACACCTAGGAACGCATGTGTTATCTTTTTTTAAGAAAAGAAAAAGAAAATAAAAAAGAAAAGAACTTAATTAACACTTTATATATCCTTATTTTCGAGACATTCATATATGAGAGTCCACATCAATAGATAGTACATATGCTCAAAATTATTACACAATATTCCACTCCTATATAAACTACTCAAACACTTCGGAACAACGCAGTACTCAAAGACTTGTGTCTTTCTAATTACTTACACACATAGATAACCGAATTAGAAAAACATTATCCCAACTTTATGGAAATGGCACATTAACGCTGGTTACAGCAGTCCATTTTGATCTATATATATATATATATATATATATATATCCCCAGAACATGAAGAAGAGGCTAGTGAAGGTGCAGAAATGTATACTAAGCACAAATTGTAACAAGCTAGAACCAAAAAGGAAAATAAACAAAAAATCGGATTGGAATTGTACACATTGCACAACTCTAGCACTTAAAATCACGAAGCCACGACTGGAGAATGGAAAAAAGGCCGGTTGCTATGCCTCCAGGACATGTAAATATAACTAACTTGGAGTAAATTAATTCCAAGCTGTGCCGTTCCTGCGAGCATAAGAAGAGTTATATATATATATATATATATAACTCATATTAGTATATTATGGCCCAAGCCGGTAATGACCATCGCCCAAGTAGTGACCATCCATGTAGAGAGCTGCGTTCTGTGGGTGCAGACCATCCATCACCATGAATTGCATATCTTCAGAAGGTTTCCAGTGTCGTTTCCTTTGATTTATGAACCAGTTGTTTATTTGTTTCTGGTCCAAACCAGTTGATTCGGCCAAAGCCACCTTCTCTGTCTCCTGATATACGATAATAAATGAAACAATACTAAGTTAAAGATCAACTCGTGTTCTTGCTTTCTACCTATCCGAATTAATGTAAATTATGTAGTGATCGAGTCTTAGAGTTAATATGTGATGACAATTAGTTTAGAAAAAAATTTGTTATGCATTATTATTGATGTTTATCTTTTCTTTAATTGTGCTCCCCGTGACTTAAACCCGTGATTTGAACCGAGGGCTTAATAGTCAATACATTAAAAGCAACTCACACACCCTCTAAACATCAATTGAGCTAGTCATAAATTGGCTACTACTATATTGATGTTTATCATTTTAAACCAATTTATCAGTAATTCACACATGACAATTTTTGTTTGGTTAAAAAATAAATTAATTGTAATCATACTTAGCGCATTAATTTACGACTTGGACTAAATTAGCAAAGAAAGATTTAACAAGAACTAAGTATCATTTCAATTAATAAAGGTTAAAAACTAAATAATGAATTAAAAAGGAAAGAGATTATATATATATATATATGTACCGAAGGATATGGCCACTTGTAGTGTAGCTCCCACCAACTGAGAAGCTTCTGCCTTGCATCTTTGGGGAGTTTGCCTTTCTTCTTTTTCTTGGAAAGCTCTTGCTTGAGGCCACTTAAGTAGCCACTGTATTTCCTCAAAAGGTGATTCTTTAGTTCTCTGTCCTCAGCACGTGGGTCTATTTCTGGGAGTTCTGTTTCTCCCCCACTATTGTCCTGGTCCTCCTCCGATGAGCCAACACCTTCACACTTGTCATCTGCATACATATAAATAATTATATATATATATATATCAAATGAGTATAACTCGCTTTCATATATAATTTAGCTGGTAATTGAGCACTAGTCAAGAAAAAAGAAAATGAAACCATCTTCAGTTGGAACAAGCCTTGATTCCGCTAATCCAAATTCTTATGTTTTCCTATCAATTTCCGTACTAAAGCCTATTACACAAGTGCACATCAAAATAGTTGCAAGCAACCCAACGGTAATTTCACACATAACACCATCCATAAGATGTAGAGTTTGAATTTCACATATCTAAATTCAAAAAATACTTTAACGGTAATTTCACACATAACACCATTATAAAATGTAGAGTTTGAATTTCACATATCTAAATTCAAAAAATTTAGGGAAAAAAAAAAGTGCACATGAAACATGAAAGGATATAAACATCCTAATTAATTCTTACAATTTTCTGGGATAAGGAGTCCTTGTTTGGCTTCATATATAGTTAGTACGGGGAAAACAATGCACGATTTAGTTTTGACATTTTGTTAGCAAAATTCAGGAGTGGGCTATTTTTATTTGTTTTCAGAATGATTTATATCTATATTATTCAAACAAACACTATAAGAACAATATTAATTCAAATGATATTTTTAAGCAAGCTAGGCTTTTACAGTTTGAAAAAAAAAAATTTCGACTTGATTGATCTTTGCAACAGTGCAAAGCACATCTTCTGATACTCAAATTTCAAGAAAAAAGACTTCTCGAAATGGGGGATTCCTTTTTTTTTTTTTTCCTATGAACAAAACTTTTAAAGCTCTCACTGCAATAAAGACGTCCCTAATGGGGCTCAAAGTGTGTTTGTCCAAAAGTTAAGAAGTGACACAAAGGGGATAGTTTTGCAGAATATGTATGCTTTATTAGCATTTAGCAGATATAAATCATCTAGGGCCGGAAACGGTATTGAAATTATGCCTCTAGCTCCTCCCACCCTCCCTACCAATTACATACCCTAAACTATCAATGTTGTTCGGACAACCCTTCAAAATGTTACATTATAAATTGATATTAATGTTGCTTAGGGTTCACTAGACCATTGATATTTGAATTAAAACTAAACACAAAACAAGACACAAATTCGCCTAAAAAAAGGGGCGGCAAAAAAAATGAACGCAAACTAAAACTATAGGGCCAATTGAAAAATAACTATTTTAACAATATCTGAATTCAATAAAATTATTTAGAACTGTAAAAATAATTTTGAAAACTCGTCTGGGGCAACTCATAATATTTCGTATTACCTTACCTATCTTCAAAATATATATATACATACATATATATATATATATCTTCAAAGAATCAAATCAAACTACTGTTTATAGGTAGCAAAACATGTATAGAGGTGCCTTGCTCCGTGAACCAGCCATAAGCCATAAGAATATCAATGTTTGTCAAATCATAGCGCATGCGTGATGCACTGTCATTGTAATTAAAATAGCTGCACAAGTGATATGAGATATTTACCAAGTCATAAACTAAAATGAATTTTTACCCCCAAATTTCACTGGAGTTTTTTCACCAACATAATGCACTTTTTTCTTTCCTTTTCGGAAGCTCATTATTACTGACCGTGTCATCAACAATTGACAAGCTTTTAGAATATATTGAGGAAATGCATTATAGTAGTAGCAAGAATATATACCCATGGAAGACATAATGTGCTCCTTTTAATTAGGAACAATGTCATAAAAATTCCGCATATTTAAGATGAGTAAGGTTAAATACATTATCTAAATACTAATGTCAACATAAAAATTATAAAATTATCTAAAATCATATACATAATAATATTACTACCCTTAATTTCATCTTTATGTAACGATGAAAAAGAATACCGATCTGTAACCAATAATAAATCTTATATCATGAGAATAACACTCACCAGATTAGAATAATAATATTATTTAATATCATTATACAACTTTAAATTTGTGATTGTTTAATTGGGTAACTTTAAATTGTGTGAGGAAATATTACAATATTCTATTTGAGATCAAGAAAAAATCTCGTCAATATGACAATTGAACAAATAAAACCCTTCACATATCACCGTGAATGTTGAGAACAGACAAACAATAGATTAACGACACCTTAAAGAATGAGAGACAGAAATTGCAACCTCATAATAATGATATAAGATCAAATTTTGGAAAGGTAAGACAATTTTTTTTTTCTGTAAAAATATGTATATGCAAATACGGTCATCAATTAACATCATATTAATGTTCAACATCATAAACAACAAAATTGAACAACTCTATGATATATAATCAATGATAATATAATCAATGAATAGAACATAAAGATTGTAACTTCATGACAATAAAATAAGATTTAAAATTTTAAAAGCTCAGCAATTTTGAGTATTATATAGATATGGTCATTATGTTGAAGATTAATAAAACTTTAAAATAACAATCGACATCATAATCAAACAACAACAACAAAAATGCGTAAAACAAAGCACACAAAATAAAAGATTAATGCATAAAAACATCATCATAAAAGAGCCACTTTCGACTATTTTAATAGGAAAAAGCACGTTAAAAACATGTAGTTTAGCTAATTACATAATGTGCATAGAAACAAAAAAGGGAAAGTGATTATTTATTTGAAAAAACTGAAATTTTGGTAGGGTATAAATCTCTTATGATTTTGGTTTGATTAAATATTAAAAAAAGCCTTTCTTGAAAGGAACTTAGGCCCCATTCGTCACCCTAATTTAAATTACAATTTAAGTTCTTACTACAGTATTTTTTCTCACATGAATTTATTTTTTAACTCAAACAAGCAAAACGAACAATACATTAATACAAATTCCGATCTCCATAGATTAAAAAAATCAATAGGATAATTTCCCTAAAAATAAAATCAATACGATAATACATATTTTCCGAAAGATAGTTCATAACATATTTGTACGGATCCATCCATGGCATGGCTGATTTAAAGGGCATCCAATGTTTTTCAGTATTATCAGCTCCATGTTAATTGCCATAACGTGCTCGCCGAAAACAATAGAAGGGGGGCATGGAAACAGCTTGGGAAATGAAAACGAGAACAATTCTGCCATTTACCCATATCGCGGTATATACATACATTCACATAATTCCAAGAAACCTTTCACAAAAATAATAAATAAATAAAATCCAAGAAACCCTAATAAGAATGACGTTTTGTCAGAGGGTGCTACAGGCTGTATATATAAAAGCCAACCCATAAAAGAGCCAAATGTTTGATCTCAATTTTTTTTCACTTATTAATTTATTGAGAAATTAAAATGTGTAATCTCATAACACCTCCATTCTGTCTTGTTATCTTTCACAAATAATAATAGGAACAAAAAGTTTGTTTTTTTTTCCCTTGGTTTCTTTCTTTCCGATTCTGGAAAAAACTATAGAATAAACAGAAATATTAGCATGTTTATCATATCATTCATGTCATTAGACTCATCATTATTAGGGTTCGCTATGCCACTCGTGACAAAGTAAAAGGATTGTTATAAGATTTTTTTTTTTTTTTAGAAAGGACTTGTTATAAGTTATGACTCTTCAATATTCGACCTCTTTTTTGGGTCTGCCTTTTCCTTTGCTATTATCAGAAGCTCTATTGGCCGGTCAAAGTTCCGCTCAACGAGCATGGAATTAATTCCTAGTGATGAATGAAAGAAAGAAGAAACTGACAAGTAATCTGTAATTTTACGGTTCTCAAGGAGTCCCAGATCAGTCACTTGAACTACCAGTTCTTCACTGTTCATTAACATTCAAACACTGCCCACACTAGACCAAACTACTCATGTCTGCTATCTCTGCACTAGCTAGACTCCTACTAACAGTTTCAGAAACTCAAGTTCAAGCACAGATCAATTAAATTTTAAATTAAGCAAAAAAAAAAAAAAACAAAGGAGCAAAAGATCATGAATCAACACTGAGAATAGAAGATTCACAATTTAATAAAAAAACAAAAAAAAAGTACCAGAAGTGAAGATCCGCACAGGACCATTGTTAATCATGTTAAGCTGAGTTTCGATCCTTCGCATGAAATCCATGGCTTCCTGAATGGGCCTCGTGAGCTCATCACGATACTTCACCAGCAAGTCGTAGTACGCTTCCTGTTTAAGCATCCAACCGGCCGGATTTCAACGCACCAACAAAAGTTAAAACCAAATAATTATAATACGCAAACATATTATACAGCATATGTATCTGTAGCTACAAATAGAGGAGTTAATTAATTCTTAAATTGATCATTAGAATTATACCATAAATTGATCGAGTTCTGGGTCCTTTGAATTCTCTCTAGAACTCAACGAAGCTCGCTGACGTGTCTCAAAATCCTCCCGAGAAGCCGCTAGCCGAGCCATCACTTCAGGCGGAGCTCCGACCTATACATACACGTGTATATATAGAGCAAACACATATAATAACGAAGCTTTATTAATTAGTCTTACTCATATTTTTTTTCTTTTTTTTAATTAAAAAAAGAGATCATTTTATGAGGGTATTATATAGGTAACTTTATATATACATACATACATATATATATGTAAGATATACACAAACACACACAAAACCTTTTGGCAGTCCATGTAAGCTCCTAAGAGGTTGGAGTACTGAGGGTGAGCGATGATCTTGGATTTAATGGCTTCAACTTCCTTGGAGCGATCATTTTCCGGCAGCGTCTGGTCATGGGGTTGTTGGTGAACCGTCTGATGGTGATGATCTCGAGTACTCATTAGACTAGGATAGTGATGAAACTTCTGGACTACGTGTTGGTGAGAAGTGCTGGCTTCGGTCTTCACTATCGATGCTGCCCCAGACGTCGTCTGGAAACAGTGGTCTCCGCTTGACTGGTGATGGAGATGAAAAGTAGTAGTACTATTGATCTGCAACGGATCGTGATTTGCTCTCCCATAATTTCCTCCGATGCTCTGCGACGCATACAAGAAATTCCCTCTCGAAGCCGCGTTCTCGTCCATCTGATTATACTCCTCCATATCTATATATTATATATTGAATATATATCACAACCCAGATGATGATTGATCTAAATCTAAAACACAACTAAAACCCTAAAGAAAATTGAAGCTTATAGAAATTCCGAAACCCTAGGAAATGGGAAAAAAAACCTTGTTCTGAGGCATAGAAACAATTAAGGGTAAGAAAATATGGGAAAGCTTAATTAATTTTCATGTAAGCCTATTTGAATATAGAAGTAGTAGTACTGACGGTGCAGAAACAAGGCTAGTTAGCTAGGTAGGCATGTTGGAGAATAATAAGTGAGTGAAAAATAGTGAAGAGAGAAAGGTGTGAGAGTGATCTCTCCCTCACATGGAGGTAGTGAGAGAAAGAAGAAGAGAAGGAGGAGAGAGAGAGAGAGACGGAGTAGTACTGGGGTGGCCGGAACCGGCAAAGGCTTCGTGGTCTTGGTTGGCTGACAAGACTTTCTTTGTTGGGAGAAAAAAAGAAATATTTGAAAATTCCTTTAAAGCAATGAAGGCTAGTAGGCCTAAAGATAAGGCAACTATAGAATTGTTGATTTTTTTTATCCTGTCTACTACTACAGTTGGGATGTTAGATAGAACTTACCCATTGTTTCACGGATTTTATATTCACTATTTAGTGCTTTATACTGTTTCATACTTTCATTTTTCTGGTTTTTAATGAACTAGGATATGATTTTTTAAAGGCTGCGGAAAGGAGGTGGATCATATTTCTCGTATCTTTAAGCCCCCTCTTTCCTAGCAAAAAAAAAAAACAAAAAAAAACCCCCTCTTTCTCTCTCTCACACACCACACTGTTTATCTCATGAGAAGTACTACAGAAATAATTGTTTTTTTAATCTTTAAAAAAAAAGAAATAATTGTTTTGCTTCTCGTGAAAATTGATTATAATTGGAAAAGATCCATATGTTTTTCTGCATGACGTGAAGAACTTTTTTATTATTATTTGATTTGATAAATCACTTTAAGAACATACTTAGGACCACTCTAATTATAGTAACACCGACATCTATGGATATATATGTGTATATATATATATGCATTGTTCACTTATAAAATGTTAATAATCTATCAGTGAACACTACACTTAAAAAAAAACCTCCAACTACCATTATTCACTTAAAACAAATTCTTCTTGCAAATATAAGAACTAATGAAATAAGTAAACAAATTAAAAAAAAAAAAAAAAGCTCTATTAATATATAATATTCTGTTTTGAACAATGTTTCATTATGTTATGTTAGATTTATGTCTTTTTTTATTTTAATTATATTTTAACCATATTATTCAGATATAGAAAGCTCTAAGAAAAAAGAAAATCCTGCTCGGGAACCTCTCTCATCATCACCAATTAATATAGACAGACAATGATGTACTAACTCTGAACCCACAACAATTAATGCTATTAGAAAATTGCACGATCCAAAAGATTAACAATACAATATTCATTTCATGAGAAGTTTGATTCATGTATTAAAATTATCATATTAGAATTATTTTTAATTTATATGTATTTTTTATGAGAGAAAATATTATAACGAATCATGAATTATGATTTGAATCAGGATATAAATTTCCCAACTAAACAACCTCTTATTCAAATTTTTAAAAATTGTCACATTTATATTTTTATTACCGTTAAATATCTGTTTATTTCACTAATTTTAATTTAAATTTTAAATTTTATTATAATAAAAAAATTTCAAAAATAATCACATTTAATTTTTTTAATAATAAAAAGTTATTATAATAAAAAATTTTAAAAAATAATCATATTTAATTTTTTTAACAATAAAAAATTATCACATAAAATTATATTTTAATTTAAATTAATAAATTAAATGAGTCTAAAAATTTTTAAAAAATATTACATCTTAATTTAAATTAAAAACTCAAATTCATAAAGTGAATAATATTTTATCCCCAAAAATAAAGACACGTGATGCTCCCAAATTGTATACCTTACGTGATAAGTGGATGTGGTACAGATATAATGGATTCTGTGACTTTGAAACACCAAAATAAAGCAAGAAACTGTCAAATCAAAGATGTATATATTTTAAAAACCTTCTACAAGCATCATTTTTAATAAAATGATTACAAATATTAAATTGATTAATTCACCCTTGTTCGCATTTCTTGTTCTCTCTATTTTTTTATTACTAAAATGAGTTGTTCTCTTTATTTTTTTATTACTAAAATGAGTTATTTAATTAGATTGCTTTTCATTTTTGCTCGATTAAGTAAATCGGTCAGTATGGATAACTAATATTAAGATAGTAAATAGCATGTCAATTAAGTTGACACTTAAAACTCATCTCTAATAGAAAGGGAAAATACAAATGCTTCAAAATGGATCACACGAAAAATTACATATCTATTCAATGCGGGATTTTTATTCATAAATATGATCTATCCATCCATATTCTTCCTCAATTGAGATAAACCAAGAGGATCACACCTTCATTGACATCTCCACTGTATATGATATATGAGGTACCATGGAGTTTCTATCTTGCACGATTCATTTAGGCCTCGTTCACTTCGCGGATTCGAGTTTTCAATTTGAGCTGAGATGTGACATTTTCTGAAAGCTTTTCACTGTAGCAAAAAAAGTTCGATGTGACATTTTCTGAGAGCTTTTTACTGTAGAAACCTAAAACTGAAAACTCGAATCGGTGAAATGAACGAGTCCTTAGTATGGTCCCGTTCACTTCGCTGATTCGAGTTTAGAATTCGAGTTGAGATGTGATTTTATGTGAGAACTTTTTACTGTAACAAAAAGTTAAATGTGAATTTTCACTGTAGCAAAAAAGTTAGATGTGATTGTTTGTGAGAACTTTTTACTGTAGAAAAACTCGAATCAGCGAAGTGAACGGGGCCAGAATGTTTTCGTCATCGTGGTCTTATAACTATAGGGCTTGTGTTGATTAATTTGGTACAAAATGAGGTTTTTAATATGAGAAGGAACGACCGCGTTTGAAGTTGTTTATAAAAGAGAATGGTGAGTCCTTAGAATGAAAAAAAAAAAAAAAAAAAAAAAAAAAAAAAAAAAAAAAAAATAAACTAAAAAAAACTTGTGTGGACCGTTAAATTTCTAAAACAGAATAAAGCTGACATGAAATCTTTGCCTCGTTCATATCACCGATTCGAGTTTTTAGTTATAGGTTTTTACAGTAAAAATCTCTCAGAAAATGTCACATCTAACTTTTTCTGTTACAGTACAAAGCTCTCAGAAAATGTCACATCTCAACTCGAATTCACGAAGTGAACGATGCCATAATCTACAATTAGAGTAAAAGATGATGTGGACAATAAATGAAGTTCACAACTTGACCTCAAGAAGAATGAAAAATCTATAGAATTACGAATGCAAAGGGATCTTCTTTCCACGATTCAAGTTTTGCTGAAGTTCACAACTTAAAACTCTATTATTCTAGATAGGGAGAAAAGAAGAGTTTTGGTGAGAAAACAATCAAATTAGTTGATTTAGAGTCTATACAGAATTTAACTGCAACACGCTCATCAACCTTCATTTGATTTTCACTGGTTTTCATATTGTGCATGCGCATGGTTATGGTTTGGATTCTTGTTTTTAATACTGCTTACTGGGTTCTTGTGTATCATCCTAAAATGTTAACCTCACAAGTCACTAGATTATAACATATCAATTAGTAGTTGGATTAAAAATATATAGACACACCTAACATCATTTATTAAAATATTACGATCTGGAGGCAAATAATATCCATAAAATACTTTTATATACCTTCAGAGAATATTTCTATATTCACTAGTTCAAAACATGTCCTATATGCATGTACATGCATATTCCAGTTTGTTGAATTTTCTCACAATTTCTTATAATTTAGTTATTTTATTTTATTTATTATTCTTTTAAGGTTTTAGTTGAGAAAAAAAAAATCATATATTTTTATTGAAAAGAGACTTTAGTGGGATAAATTAGATAGTAAATAATTTAGAGTATGTTAATTTCATGACTCTAAGTTATTACTCAAGTCATATTATTACAGTATTTTCTCTCATAAAAATTTAAATTTAATTTTTTTATTATAATATTTTTATTTTACATACACAACTCAAATTATAACTCTAAGTTATGAAAAAATAAGTCCTTAGAAACTACCTATGAAGAAAGGAATTTGAGGCGGCTGAAGGAAAAACATGTTTAAGTATATTTTATCAGACAAATTATTTTAACGGGCTATTAAAAAAAATTTTATAAGGGCCACATATTTGAAAAAAAAAATATTATTTTAATCCGGCACTGTTTACTCAACTTGAAACCTTCCGAATGAAGAGCATAAGCATCAATCTTTTTGGAGTCAGAGTCATGATGTTTATAATTTATCAAGTTCTGAATTTTTCCGAAGAACCTAAGACGATATATCTATTTCTATTCGAATAAGAGCATAATTGTCAATTTTCGTCGAACTACAAGATCTACACGTTTTCTTTACTCTACTTTTCATGATCTTCTACAGGATACCAACTCAATTCAAGACTCATTTGAAACAAGGTTGCTTTCTGTTGAGGTAATACTCCTTGAAGATCAACTAATTACAGAGGTATTAGAGGCTATTCTGTTAGATCTTTAATTCAACATTGTACTTATATGTAAATAATTATGTATTATAGACTGTCATATAAGGTTAAGTCCATTTAAAAGTGGTCTATTAAAGTTTGGGTAATTTGAGCTTTAATGTATCTAATAGGGTGTGAGCTTTTAATGTGTAGAGACTTAAGGGTAATTTCTATTTTTATGATGGACTAAAATAGAAATACCAAAAGATAATAGAGAATTTATTTATATATAGTAGTCGTGGTCTCCCAAATCACATGTATTACTGTCATTCTATTATTTTCTAACATCTCACCATCAGAGAGAGAGCAAAGAGAAAGCTAAAGGATTCTCTAGAAAAATGTATTGATCCGGAAGACAAACCACACTGCTCTAGAGAGTAATTTACATCTAAGTATATTTTCTAACAAGTGGTATCAGAGTCTCTTCATGTTTAATCATTGAGAACAAATTTTGGATGAATTTTTTTGATGGATGTATTCATATTTTTTTATTTTCGGTTTTTTTTAAATATATATATATATGAAAGAGGGGAGAGTTTTTTGACCGGCGGCAACTTTTCTGCCACCGGCACAGTGAACTCCGGACGCGGCTGTCAGGCCGTGTCGGCAAGGGGCAACTGCGGGCACTAGGCTGACGCCAAAGAAGAAAAAAAAGGAAGAATTTTTACAATTTGTGTCGGCGGCTGCCTTTGCTGCCGCTGACGTCTGGTCCTACCGACATTCAACATTCTTATAAGACAAAATCTCATGCTTACTTCGGGTGGTGCAGTGCCAATAAAACTCATGTTGTGTGGAGCTAAAACGAGAAGAGATCGGAACGTGAATTTACGATGATTTGGCCCTTATTTGTTTTAATAACTCAAACTGTTATTTAGGATTCAAACTGGCGTTTGAGAGAAGAAAATTTAAGAACAATTCAAACCATTAATAATGGTTCAAAGACAATTTAAATTGTTG